GCCTTAATGGTACCCTGGGCAGAACCAGAGTAGCAAGCAGCAACTTTTGTGGGGAAACTGAGGAATGAGGGGTGGGGTGGAGAGCTAAAGAGGGCCCCAGTGGGACAGCAGCTGGGGGCTGCCTCTAGCACAGAGGTGTTGGGCACGGAACAAAGGAAAGAAACGGCTTGACAAGGCCAGTCTGGTTCACCCTAATCTTACCCTGCCCCTAACCAGGTGGACCAGCCCACATGAGACCTCTTCAGAGGCCTCCCCAAGTTCTGCCCTCATGAAGCTATTCTGAGGATGAATGTGGCAGGGAGCATGAAAATACTTCGGGGTCTTCAGTGTCGACCTACAAGGAATTCCTCCTGTGTCATTCTCCCCGTGGGGCCGGGCCTGCCCTGAGCCTCAGCCACCCCTCCAGAGCCTCTGGCCCCTGCCCCAAACAGGCAAGTCGCTTCACCAGCCAGGTGGGGGTCCCTTGAGGCTGGGCTGGGGGCCATACTTCCCCTGCCTCTCAGAACCTAGCTGCCAGGCTGGGCATAGGCTGATTCACTGGTGAACTTGGGAAGAAGAGAAAGGATCCCAGACCGAACCCTCAGTGTAGAGGGGAGATGTCAATCCACGTCCACCTAATAACTCGCAGGATCAGCAGGCGAATGCACGCGTTCATTACCAAGTCTAATTAGGCTGGCAGACAAGTGACATTAATCATTTTTGACTGTACCTGGGATTCAAGCCCCTCTCACTCCATAATCAGAAAATTTCATGCTCTGATGAATAGGGGGAAAATTAAGCCCACATTTAATCCTTTCACTTTCATCTTTTGAGAAGACAGGAAGCAGGGAGGAGAGGAAACAGGAACAGCTTAGGGACCTCAGAAGGCCTCTCTCAGAGCATCCAGGTCCCCTCTCTATCCCCAGCACCCGATCTCCCCCACACTCTGCTAGGACCTTTCCCAAGAAGACGCTTGTTAGAGCCACAGGCAGAAGCGGGGGTTTCCACTATGTTTAACAACACAGCGTCCATCTCAGGGCTTAATTTTCCTAATGTCCAAAACCAAACATGGGCCTGGATTAATTAAGCCACACACCTCAGCGCTGCTGGGTATGCTGGACAAATAAAACACTCTCCAAGTGCTCAGGTTCTTGGGTCTGCTACAGGGAGACCCCACGTCAATGTCCCAGCAAAGAACCCATGACAAGGCGTGGGCCTTCAAGATCTGGATCTGGTGGCTCTCACATGGGTGGTTTCAGTCTGCAAAGAGAGGTGAATTAAGCCCAACCATTAATGCAGTGACAAGACAGACCTGGAAAGACTGGACAAGGGGCCCTGTGGGTCCCCACACTCACCCCCCCATTCCTCAGTTTCCCCACAGAAGAAACTGCTTGCTGCTCTTGTCCTGCCCAGCCTCACTCACCAAGAAAGTCTCCAGTCCCCATGCCTGATGGCCATGGCAAATGCCTTGTTCTCACACTGCCACAGAAAGGGGAGGTTAAGATGACAAGCCCCAGGGCCCCGCTTTCAACTCTATAATTCCAATCCCTTAACATTTCATAGCTCTAAACAACACCCTTCCAGACCCTGGCTCCGAGAGCAGACACGTGGCACTCACTGGCAACATGCAAGGTATGTCCAAGCAATCCTCTTGGAATGTTGAGTGGGGCTTAGGTCTCCCCATTTTCCAGACCATTCCCTGGTCCAGGACGGCTTATATATCCACCCAAATGAGGTGAGAGGTCAAAGGTCAACTCTATGTGCCTTCTACTGAGGAAAGGGTCAATGACCTATAAGGGGCATTCCCTGCAAACAAAGCCATAGGGCAGCTGACATATTTCTGATGTTGACCATTCCCTCCTAAAGTGCTGGAAATGGACATTCTCATCGCTGCCACTGCCTCCACCCCGAAATACACACACATGCACACACACACACACACACACGCAGTCACACACCCACCTCTCTCTCTCTCTTCCCCTCATCAATCCCCACTACATTTCCTTCTGTATCTAAAAAACAGGATTTCTTCAACCTGGAAATTAATATTAACCTTGAACTTTCCTGTTGGCAAATCCAGCATTAACCAGAGCTTTACAGACCTTGAAGCAGGAGTAAGCTTAAATTGGAGGAACTTTCACTAAAACGGCAGGCAGACAGTTTTCTAAAAACTTCCTTTATTAAAAGCCCATTTTGCCAACAAGTCTCCCACCCAGTGTCAGCCTCCTTCTCAGACAGATGTCATTCACATACCCACTGACCTTCTGCTTGTTTCCAAGAGTAGGGAGATTTAATAGTAATAACAAGCTGCCACCTTCATCAATCACTATTTACTAAGACTATATTCTGTACCTGCATCATGCTCGGGGCAAGTGATACAAAGACAAGGCGACCACTAAGCCATTGGCATCCTGTGAGGATGCTCCTCGGCCAGCAGGCAGGAGTGATGTTTCTATAGGACGCTGATACCTATACTTCCTGGGATGCTCAGGCACTTGCTTCCCCACTTAGCTAAGCAACTAGACAGAGTTTGAAAACTATAAGCACTGCTTGGAAAGGTGATCCTAAGAAGGGTCCCGAGCCCAGACAAATTGTTAAACTGTTGAGTGGGAGGGGATAATAACGACATTCATATTACATTAAATGTTCATATTGTACTTTTCAACACTGTTCTAAGTGCTTTATATATATTAATTCATTTAATTCTGACATTAACACGATGAAATAGGTACTATTATTACCCCATTTTTAAAACAAGAAATCAGAACACAGAGCTTCCCAGGGTCACACCTAGACTCACAGGCAGAGTCAGGATTCACACCCAGGTCTCTGGTTCCAGGCTTGTGCTGTCTTTTAAAAGTTGTATTTCTGACCCTTGCTTTTCAGAACCAAGATGAAACAAACCAACCCCACCATGGATTAGACATTTGGCTTAAAGAAAGATGCTCCTTAAGTCTAGCCTGTTGTGTTGCCACCTGCCAGCTCTCATTTGCACATCAGAACATTTATTTTCTTTTTTTTCAATTTTTTGAATTTATTTTATTAGTTTCAAGCATATTAGAACATTTCTTAACTGTCCCTATCCAGCCACAGGCCCACGGTTAGTTAAATATTAATAATGACAAAACAGGGACTCCTCTCTGCAGCCCCTAGAGTCCAGCACTGCTCTCTCTCCAGTATTCAGACATCCCTGGTTGGTATGTGGGGGCCACCAAGTTACACAAAGTCAGCGGAAATGTCCATGCACCTGAGTCTTCCTGCCATGAGAAACTGTCTATGAACTAATCAAAGGAAATAAATTCTAATGTGAAGTGAGCATAAATTCATTTAGTCATGGAGTATCATGCATATGCACATACAAACACACACAAATACAGTTATCACCAACCCCCCCATCATAAAACTATGTGCAAAATATTCAACAATTGACAGTCCCTAAGCATCTTAATACAAAGCAGAATTCTCATGAAGCAGATTTCCTGGGATTCCCACACAATAAAACCCATTACAATGAGGATACTGCCTCTGTGTTGACATTACAATGAGGATATTGCCTGTGTTGACAGGGTTGGTGGACCCAGTAAAGTACTCCAGGACCACTGATAGGGCCAAAGCTGCCAACACATTCGCAGGCATTCAATTCTATTGTAAGGTCAAGGGCATTTACCAAGTGACAGCAGCCCTCCACCCACAACACATACCTCTGTAACTTTTGCTTTTTCCTTTTTAATTGGCACCTGAGCTATGAATTCTGGTGTTGGAGGGAGCAGCACCCCCATTCCCCTCCAATCTTTCCCTTCCACTTGACCCTGGCTTAGAGTCTGAGCTCTCTTTCCCGGCAGGCAGCAGCAGTGGGAGGCATGCTGCACAGCCTTGGCTGTGGACTGACAACAGAGAGGCAAGGTAGGGTTTTCCTGATGTGGAAGTAGCTGGCGCTGTCCAATGGTGCAGCCAAATGGGAGATCATGGGGGAAGGGCCTTTGCTGAAAGACTGCAAACCACAACCCATTTCCAGAGATGCTTGCTAGAATTGTGCCATTGTCTGTGCTTTGTACATCGGATCTTTAAAATATCTACGTAAACACATGGACATCCTCTGCCAAACACAAGCAACAGCAAAAATGGAAGTGGAGTGGAGAGAGGACACCCGTTAAAGCAGTACACATGCCTAAAACTGTAGGAAGAGAAAAATAATAAATCCCAAGATTACAAAATTGGCTCAGAAAATCTACACCTGGGGTGCCAGTGTGTTATGGTCAGGTTTGAGAAGAACCTGGCTCAGGAGGAGGCTGGAGAGGCCTGAGAGCTGGGGGCGGGGGGCAGTCCTGAGTTGGGTCATCTTAGAGCATGATGATGAGGTGCAGTCACATAGGAGGAGGAAGAGGAGGTGGCAGGGCCCAGTCAAACATTGGAGCAGAGTTCAAAGGCTTGAGGGGCCAGGGGTGGAAGGCAGGAGGGGGCATAGGTCTCCTCCCTGTCCCAACAGGTCCTGCTGGAGGATGTACCATAGGTAGACATGTATCATGGACCTGTAGCGCAGATGGACAAACAAGCCATTTTGCCATTATGCCCTAATCAGCACGGGTCAAATGGTCACCTCAATACCAGGCTCGCAACTCACTCTCAGGAATCTACAACAAAAGCAAGAGGGTGCACGGAAGACAACGGAATGACCTTCCAGCTTTGGCCATCAACTCGAGTGGAGAGAGAGTGTGTGTGTGTGTGTGTGTGTGTGTGTGTGTGTGTGTCTGGGGAGGGGAGCGAGGCATGCACCTGTCAGGAGAAAAGGTATTTGTCAAATACCGCCAAACTATGTCTGGGCAGTAGGCAGTCCCTAAAGGATATCCTGCAGGGGATAAGAAGCAGAGTCTCCAGGACTTATCTCCCTTAGTTAAAGTCGAGGTCTCTCCTGGAGCCAGGGAAGGCAATGCCCGGTCTACCTGCCCCAGCCGCTCGCAGTTCCTCGCCCATTGACTGCGGTCTTCCCGCGCGCCCCTCCCCTGCCCGGCCCTCATACTCACTAGCGCAGCGCAGCGCCTGCTGCAGCACCTCTTGTCCGCACAGGTCACACCAGCCTCGGCCGCTCCGTAGTGCCAGTTCCGCGAAGCAGTGCCCCTCGCCTCGTTCCGCCGGGACGCGGGGATCCTGCGGCTGCTCGAAGATGCTCCGCACGTCGCGGGGTCGGGGCGCTCCAGGCCGCCGCCGCAGTCTCTGCTGCAGTCCAGGCCGGAGAGGGCGAGCGGGGCGGGAGGCCCGGGGTGGGGGCTCCGGGTCCCCGCGGGTAGCCCTTCGGGCACCACGCCCCTCGTGCGCCCCGGGCGCAGGGGACAGAGGCGCAGTGGCGCAGCGGCGCGAGGACCTGCCCGGCGGCGGCGGCGGCGGCGGCGGCGGCGGCGGCGGCGGCGGCGGCGGCGGCGGCGGCGGCGGCGGCGGCGGCGGCGGCGGCGGCGGCGGCGGCGGCGGCTCGGGGCCGCTCAGGCTCTGCAGATAGCGCGGCGGTTCTGGGTCCAAGAGCAGCCGGTACGGGCGCTGCCCGATGGCCGGGGACGCCATGGCCATGCCAGGCGCGCGGCTGCGGCGCTTCTCCCGAGTCCTCCTCGAGAGGAGGGCGGCCCCAGACCAGCGGCCTTTAAAGGGACCGCAGGCGGCGGGGCGGGGCGGGGCGGAGGCGGGGAGACTCGGGAGAGGAAGGAAGGACGACCCCTGGGAACCACCGACCGACCCAGCCGCAAGGTTGGCCGTGGGAGGCGCCCGAGCGGGCGTGGATTTCTGGGCGTCTTCAGGAAGCGGGCTGGAAAGCTGGGGCAGCTGCAGGATTCCGTATGAGGAAAGCTCTATTCGGTACAACTCAGAAGAGACATTTCTGTAGGGGGCCGTCTGCCTTCAGCCCCGCCTCTGTCCCTCTCCCATCGCTTTCCTCCTCCCACACCAGATCACCCCCACCCGTGCCCCAACACGCCCAGGCGAGGGGGCCGGCGGAAGGAAGGCTGGGGAGCTAGCAGGGGATGAGGTCTAAGGAGAGGACGTGTCCGCCCGCCACCCTCCCAGCTCTCAGCCGACCCGAGCGATGTGCTCCACTGCTCTTCCCCCTACCCAACCTCGCCGCGGTCCGCGCCCCTGGGCGAGCCGAGCCCGGCGCGGGTCGGAGATACTCGGCCCCCGCTCGCGCTCCCGCAGCCGCGCGGAGTCGCGTGACGCAAGGGGACGCGCGCGGGAGTAACGCTGCAGACGCTGACCCCGGGAAGCCGCCCCCGCTGTCCACGTGCGACTTTCGCTCTCCTTGGATTTCCCCTGTCAGCTGCCCTGCCGGGTAGGATAGTCCTTTCCCGGAAGAGTGGGGTGATCTGGATGCTGGATTGTGAGAACGCTCTGGCGGCCCTGGAGTTGGGAGAGCTTGTCTTCCAAAATGAAACCCTCGTCTCCCCAAAGCTGCTCTAGTAATTACTGTGGAAATAACTGCGCCCTCCCTCCCCCCGCGCACACACACGAAGCCCTACTTTGTATTTGGTATGGACAGCTCACCTGTGGGACCCAAAGACAGATCCTTTGCTACCCGCACCACGACCACCGCGTCATCTTCCGCCCCCACTTTCATGCTCTGTTGTCACCGTCTTGATAGTCTTAATAAATTTTAAACGAAGGGCCTTACAAATTATGTAGCAGGTCCTGATTCTCTCTCACGGGTGAGGAATCAGGACTCCTGGATCTCGGAACCAGTGTCTTGACACAGACCAGTCCTTTGACCCTGGGCCCTCTTCAGCCTCTACGATTTTCCTGTGAATTGGTCTGAGAGTGAGGCAACAGGCTTTTGCAATCCTCGCCAGTTCCACTACATGGACTCAGTGATCACTCACTGCCTGTCCTTTTAAAACTCGGCTTCGGTTTGGTTGGTTTATCAGAGGTCACCGCAGCCAACTTTGGGAATAGTCTAAATTCTTCTGGACCTGAGATTCCCCCTCCTCTTCCCAGGCTAGAAATGGGTGTCCCCCTAGTGTCTGGTGGGGGGATCTTCACTTTTGCTTTTTGTTTTCCCCGTCCCCCGCAGTAATTTTTAGGTAATTCCTAACATTTCCAGAGTCTAGTGGCCAGGGAATTCCCAGCCTGCTTTGTCCCTCGTGGCAGGAATGATCATAGAGTCCTCTGCATTTGTAGCAGAGGACATGTTGCAGGGTTTCTGGGTCTCACCAGAGGCTGGAGCTGCTCACTTCATGAGGTGGTAGGCGGGAAGAATGACCCCCAGCGTCCACTGCCACAGTGCTGCGAAGAGAAGTCGAAGAGAAGTCGAGAGGCAGGCGTAGGAGCCACCAGCCACTCCCCTGCTCCCC